TGGATTATCTCGGCAAAGGAGAAGTGCTCACTAACACAGATTTAGACAGATTTGTGAACAATATTTGAGAGAAATAAGCCTTTTGTGTACATAGAAAAAATCTTAGATCTTTGAGTTCAGCTCATGAAAAATGGGGGCAAAAACAAAAGTGTTGCGTTTATAATTTTGTTCAGTGTATATACACACAGTGTGTGTATATATATGTATATATATATATATATATATATATGAAATAGCACTGCTATTTCCTTGAGGAAATACTAATGTAATTGTTATTCTTGATGGCTCACAGAGATACAATCATGCACAAGGATTTTTGCCCATGTTTTTATGCTTTTTAATATGCCATACTTTAATATTAAATTACAGTTTTTGCTTTTGAATGTTTCATGCATTTTACCCTTGCCAGTTTGCCTTGCCATTTAGTGTCCAAAGTCATAATTTTGTTTTCTGCTTTTGTCCAAATGGTTATATTTTTAATTATTTTAATAATTTGTTACTCATTGTCATGGATCACAAGATGTTGAAGGCCATAACAAACAAACAAAAAAAATAATAATAACAAAAAAAATAATATATATATTTATTTTTATTTATTTTTGTAAAAAGTGTCTTATATAGCTGAAAATCATGATTTCATCATGATGACGGTATGTAACAGAATTGACAGTCGTGTGTGTGTGTTTCTCTGTGTATGATTGTCCATTCTGTTACATACTGTCAACACTGACACTCTACCTTGGTAACAGAATTGACACTAATTCGGACAACAAGAAATCATGATTTTTAGCCATATAAGACACTTTTTACATCAAATATTATATTGTTATGGCCTGTAAAATCCTGTGATCAATGACAATGAGTAACAAATTATTAAAATAATTAAAAATATAAGTATTTGAAAAAAAGAGAAAAAAAAGACTTTGGACACCAAATGTTCCTGCAATTATAGAATCAGCCAGATGCATCTGAGAGAGTTTGTGTTAATGTTTATCTCATTGTTTATCTGCTTCAGTCATCAGTCAGGAGAAGTTGCCATGGCATCATTTTATAGAATGGACAGCGAGTCCAGTCACCTTCCCAGCATGCTCAGTGCTCTAGAGGAGCAGAACTTTCTCTTCCAGCTGCAGCTCAATAACCAGCCACAAGATGATTCAACTGAGGTGGGCCATCAGGATATTTTGAGTGATAACAGGCTACAAATATGTATCCCACAGCCATTTATCTTCTTTGCAATAATTTAAAACTTTGATGATATAAATGTATAAATTAAATAAATAGTATTAATGAAATGTCATGTTTCTTTTTGCTGCAGGGACTAGAGGTGCCATTAGTTGCAGTCTTGCAGTGGTCCACTTCTAAATTGCCCTTCACCAACTCTATCTACACTCACTATAGTCTCCCTAGTGTGAGACTGGACCGACCGCGCTTCATTATGACAGCTAGCTGCCCCAGTGCGGTCAAGGCTCACGAACATTTCCGGGTGCGATATACCCTCCTCAACAACTTGCAGGACTTTCTGGCAGTCCGTCTAGTCTGGACGCCTGAAGGTGAGGAAGGGTAAAATAGTAAAAACAAGTGGCTTAAGTTTAAGAACATATGGCTGCATGGAGCTGCATGGTGATTGAACTGATTAGTGTGACTGCTTTAATATATTAACGTGACACCGAGAATCATTTGCTCTGACAATATTTCAGAAATCATGTTGAGTATCAGCTGTTTAGCATTAGAATTAGTGATGCCAGATCGTGAATTAGTTACTCTTTAACTTTGATCTAATCGGTCAAACAGGTTTGCCAAAAGGTCTGAAATGGTTTGTGATTCAGTTTGATTCATATGGACAGTACATTCAAGCACTGGACCATTTGCAGCTGTTTCTTACAGTGTAATGGGATATTTTGTAAGTCAGAAAACAAAAAGGAGACACTGAAAGAGGTAGATTATTACCTACGATCTATTGTAGGAAAGAAAATCAGTTTGTCAGCTGTGAAGCAGTTTATTGGGCAGGCAGCTCATGAAAGATTTTGTACTGCAGGTAAAGACAATTTATATCTATATATCCATAACAATATCAAAAAAGAGTATTAAAAAATACTGTTAAAATATGGGGGGGCACTTTTTTGATGAGGGGTCAGTACTGATGAAAGGCTAGAAACGCTCCTGGTGGTGGGTATATGATTGAGTCAGAATATGTTTGAAGCAGTGTTATTTTAGTGTTATTTATATAATATTATAGTATTATAGGATTATTTTTAGATTTTCTGTTTTCATTATATATATATATAATATTTTTTATTATGATTTTTTTGGGGGGGAGAGTTAATTGTGAGTTATTACAAATCTCACTGCAGTGGGTC